TTTTTTTTTTTTTTTTTCCAAGTTTTTCTCCCAAATTCGATCATAAATTCCCCCGTTTCGTTCATCAATCAATCGTTCATTATATATAAATTGATTTAATAAATTTTTGAATTTATTTATTTATTTGTTTGTTTATTTTTTTCCAGGTTTCAAACGACTGGTCGATTAAAAAAAGTTGGGCTAACTGACTAACCAAGCCGTAACAAGTGGACAGGGCGCTGTCCCCCGAATGACCGTGGACGCGACCGAGATAGTGACACTGCGCGTCGTGCATCCCTTTCAACTTCGCATCCCTCAAGAAATTATCGTTGCTCCCACTTTCCGTAGACCTCCGATGTTCCTCGATAACAGCGCCTGTGAACGTGACGAAATTCATTCATTCCATTTCTCTTTAATTTCGGTTCGAAGTTCAAATTCCGAATTTTTCGAAAATTTGAAATTCAAATTTCGAAAAAAAGTTGCTCGAATGCAGACGAAAAGTGAATCGAGGCGAAAGAAGAAGAAAAAGAAGAGGAGAAGAGAATATTTTTTTTTTTTTTTTACTACTGAAATTAATACAAACACACACGTGTTATCTTAATTTTCAACTCGCCTGGGGCAACGAGGCGGGGATTCGGCCGTAGCTCGAGATGATAATCCTCCTCGCCGATTTTCAAACGGTAGTGAACAGCATCGTCCTCGATCCTGCCCCCTCGATCCGTCGTGGCGTAGAGGGAACGCTTGAAGTGATGAGGTATTTGATGCGACACGAACTTTCCATCCGATCCGACTTTCCTAGGCACCACGATCTCGTATCCCGTGTCACGCCCTTGAAAAATCAAGTCGTCGTTATAGTTGTAGAAAGTTGTAGAGAGAGAGAGGATTCGATTATTCTTCATCAATTTTGTAGGGGGGAACAGTGTAGGTTTAGAGTTTCACCTCACCATTCTACACTTTGTTAAGATCAGAGTATGTTCTTATTTTATAATAGCAGGGAATCAGAGAAATAATAATAATTATTAATAATAAAGAATAAAAGGAGAGGAGAATAAAAGGAATAAAGAATTATTAGTGAAATTTGGGAGAGAACGTTGCCCCATTATTCTCTTTTCATTAAGATCAGAGATAGTATGATTGTTTTTATTTTATAATAGCAAGGAATCAGAGAAATGGAATAAAGAATTATTAGTGAAATTTGGGAGGAATGTTGTTTTATAAGATGGAAATTGAATGTGTTTTTTGAAAATTATTGTAGGTTAGATGATTTTTAGTTTGAAGAGAAATATGTGATAAAATAAAGAATTATTGTATGAAATTTGGGAGGAATGTTGTTCTATAGGATGGGAATTGAATATATTTTTTAAAGATTATTGTAGGTTAATGATGAGCTCTTTTTATTTTTAAGAGAAAGGTGTGATGAAATAAAGAATTATTAGTGAAATTTGAGGAATGTTGTTCCATAGGATGAGTTGGAAATTGAATATATTTTTTGAAGATTATTGTAGGTTTGATGATGAACTTTTCTTATTTTGAAATGTGTAATGGAATAAAGAAAATTTGGGAAATGGATGGGTTGGGAATTGAATATGTTTTTTCCAGATTATTGTACAATTATGATGATGCACTCTTTTTATTTTATAATAGCAGACAATCAATGATAAAGAAACGTGTAATGAAATAAAGAATTATTAGTGAAATTTGGAAAATACTGTTCTATAGAATGATATGTTCTATAGTAGACAATCAATGATAAAGAAATGTATAATGAAATAAAGAATTATTAGTGAAATTTGGAAAATAGTGTTCTATAGAATGATATATAGATATGTTCTATAAAAGACAATGATAAAGAAATGTATAATGAAATAAAGAATTACTAGTGAAATTTGAAGAATGCTGTTCTATAGAATATGTTCTATAGCAGACAATCAATGATAAAGAAATGTGTAATGAAATAAAGAATTATTAGTGAAATTTAGAAAATGTTGTTCTATAGATGAGTTAGAAATTGAATATATTTTTTGAAAATTGTTGTAGATTCTTTTTATAGAGAAACGTGTAACGAAATTATATGTAAAATTGTTAAAAAATTACATGTAAAATTTTGAGAATTCTGTTTTATAGGTATAAATAATGATATTAAGATAAAATAATAATGAGTTTGATGGTGGATTTTTCTTATTTTACATGATAATCAAAAAAATTATTTTTAGAAAAATGTATAATAAAGAATTATTTGTAAAATTTGAGTAATGTTGTTCTAAAGATGATAGCGAATTGAAGTTTACAATAATTGCGTGACATACATTATACTTATGTAACACATTACTACTTTGCATCAATATTGACATAAAAGTCAAAATTTACTTTTATTAAAGGTACATGTTTCTATCTTTATACACATTTACCAAAAACCGCAATAATTAATTAATAATAATCAATCAAATTAATTTAACCTCTAAAATTTACATTTTGAGTTGTATCCATTGTCAATAAACGATATATAAACCCCAATAATCACCTCCGATTATTAAATTTAAAAATAAAAAATTAAAAATAGAACGATCATTAAAAAAAAAATCATTAAAAAAAAAAATACTTCTTGAAAGAAATTTCTTTTTTAAACAAATCAACGATAAATTCATAACTTCTTTATCTTACTGTAAAGTTACGCACACAAATACAAAAGAAATATAATTATAATTATCTTGAAAAATTTCTGCCTGTAAAAAAAAAAAATCCGTTTACGTTAATTGATTTTCGCGTGGCTGCTGGATTAAAGGAGGAACGTTATTTAAAATATATGGAGGCGAGGCTTCTGTTCCCTACCTCTGTTCCTTTCCTTAATAAAAGGGAAAGATAGATCAAAGATATCGATGAGAAATTTTCCCCGTCATCGGTGGCCAGGAAATTAAACCGTGAAGAGTACTTTTCGCGATAAAGCGGATTCATTAGCGAGCGCGCGATCTCCTCCCCTCCACTCCTCTCCCTTCCCCCCACTACAACATTTTTCGTTAACTCGACGTCTTGAAGCGGGAGTAGGCCGCCGCTCCTCCAACAAGGCAGCGTTCGATGCGTGGTATCGAACTAACCGACAACTCGCTTGTTGGTTATGCGCAACAAACGTAAATGTATTTCCGTGGAAGAAATATGTTGAAAGGATGCGAGGCAATGTTGGATTTCTATCCCCCGATTTTATTTTATTCGAGCGTGATTCTTCACATTTTTTTTTTTTTTACCGCCATAATTGATTCAGAGAAGGAAGAGAGAGAAAATTCGATCCACTTGGTGAAATTACTTATGATATTGAAAATAGTGAGCGTGGTTATATACATATACGTACCGAATCGTCACCGAATTATTACAGATCGATTTTTGTTTGATTCAAACTTGATTAAAATTTCAATTTATATATATATATATATATATATCTCGTTATACTTTTTTAACGCGTAGATTATTTCTAATCCAATATTTATCTTATTCAGTTTCTCGGATTTTCGATTTTTGAAAAGTTTAATTCCTGATGAAAATTTTATTAGAGTTTCGCATTCTTTCGAAAACGGATTAATAATTGACCGATATATATCCATTATATACGTAATTTCTATCGTTATCACTCTTATCTCCGCGAAATCGAACTTTATTTCTATAAGTAAAATTTAATGATAAAAGAATTTAATTTACTATGAAATTAAATGTGCTATTAACAATCTTTTGTAACAATTATTCACGAATATCTGTAGCAATCGTGTTGTACAATAATTTCATAAATTTTTCGTTCTCCTTTATCTAATATTTCGCGTTAAATTCAAACCTTCCAAACGTTGTGAATAGAATCAGCTATTTGCGGCTAGAATCGGAAAGATGCTCGACGTTTCAAAGGTATTTATTTTACGCCATGCTTTCTGCTGCCG